CAATATGCAGTAAAGAGAGTGATGATAACTTGATTTTTCAAACTCAGAACACACTGGGTCAGAAAGAATTATTAGGACTTCATTTAGTTTATTCCCCTTTATTGGGGATGGGGGTTGGTGGGAACTAGACATAAAATCTTCAGAAAAGAATAAAAATATTAATGATAATTGCTAGGCAACACAAATCTTCAATAGTTAACTATACCCTTGTAAACAGAGGAGTCTAGAGTCCTACCTCAGTCATGGTCATCATTTCATTACGACATTTATCCAATTGATTCTGCAATTCACTTTGGCTCTCCACTAGCTGTAAACCATACTGTGCAGCTTTTAGTCGCTCTTCTTCAACCTCTTTGAGTTTGCAGCGAAGATCTGCAATTACATCTGCCTCCATGATTTTTTCTTGTTTTTAGTCTACTGTAAATAGAGGAAATAAAAGTACTTAAGCTTAAACAAAAAAGTTCATACAATGATATCAATTAAATACATATATACATATATAGGGGCCAGCCCAGCGGCATAATAGGTACGTTTGTGTGCTTTGCTTTGGCGGCCCAGTGTTTGCAGGTTTGGATCCCAGATGCAGACCCAGCATTGCTTGCCAAGCCCACCCCACATAAAACTGAGGAAGATTGGCACAGATGTTAGCTCAGCAACAATCTTCCTCAAGCAAAAAGAGAAAGATTGGCAACAGATGTTAGCTCAAGTTCAGGGGCAATCTTCCTCACGCACACACACAAAAAGATATATATATATACTCAATACTACCACCATATAAAAACATAATATTAAAGATCTTCCTGACTTTTAAATGTTCAAAATTGTATTCTTGTCCTAAGAGCAAGGTTTGACCATTCTGTTACCTGATTTGAGACCAAATCAAACAGAGCAAAAAAAGATGAATACATTTAATTTTGCTTCTAAGAAATGCAGTATCAGGAAACTGTTCAGTTGTTGTGTGCTCAGCTTCCTTAAATGGTAAGGTAGGGTGAGTCTCATAAATAGATCATTATTCAGGTAATCAAGGTAAGAAAAGAATGAAAGAAATCAAGAAACTTTATAGTAGCATGACTGCTACTTAACAAATAAAAAGACACCTTTGAATAAGCTTCCTAAGGTAAAGCAAGGACTATCATGTCCACAATTTTTCATAAGTGTTAACTTCCTGAACACATTAAATTTGCCACATTAAATTTGCTTTATTGAAAACAGACTCACTAGCATTTTTCTAGTTATTTATGAGGGCATGCAAAACAGAAACCATATTCACAGTAATTAAAGAACATTGCTCTCATTATCGATTTTCAAGCAAGGACTTAAACATTATATATATAGAAACATTCCATTTTAACTTAACCTCACTCATCACCCTTTCCAGATGGGTCCCAAACTCTTAGGCCAGACTCAAACTCAGCTTCGCCTTCAAAGAGCAACAGGCCATTATTAAGATGTTCTCCATGTCTCCAATCAATGTACTCATTCATTAAACGAATAGTTTTTGAATGCCTTATGTGCTGGGCTCCATTTTAGGTACTTCAGATATATCAGAGGTCAAACTGACAAAAAAAAAAAAAGCTCTCTTTTCATAAAACTTACCTTCCAGTGGGAGAAGACAAGCATTAACAGTGTAATATTAAGTGCGTTAGAAAGTAGAAATGAAAAAAATATATATAACAGGATAAGGGAGCCTGGAAGAGGGAGAGGTATGGCAACTAGGATGAAATTTAGTGTTGAGGGGTAGGCCCTCAGGAGACTTCAGGGTAAAGCTTTGCAGAGGATAAGAAAATTACCCAAGTACCTATTTAGGGAAAGAATGTTCCAGGCATGGGGTAGCATTAAGGTGGAAGGAAGCCCAACGAATGAACAAGACAGAGTTTAGGTCAGAAGAGATAATAGGGCAGAACAGACCGATCAAGCCATTGTAAAGACTTTGGCTTCTACTCTGGGTGAAATGGGGAGTCATTGCAAAGTCTGGAGTAGAGGTCTGACATTTAAAAGGATCATTTTGGCTGCTATGTTGAATAGATTGGAGGGGAACACGTTGGAAGCAGAAAAACAAGGTGAGATGAACACTCACATTAGGGTGCCTGCATAGGGGGTGGTGAGAAACGGTCAGATTCTGCATATATTCTGAAGGTAAAACCAACATGATTTTCTGACAAATGGAATGTGGGATGTGTGAGAAAGAGAGAAGTCAAAAATGCCTCCAAGGCTTTTGGCCTGAGCAACTAGTAGAATAGATTCCCCAACAGCTGAGGCACCAAAAACTGGTGAGTAAAGACTGTTTTGGAAAGAAAATCAGAGGACTAAGCTTTAGACAGGAAATACGTCAAGTAAGAAGTTGGCTATATGAGTAAGAAAGGGGTCTGGGCTGGAGATATAAATCTGGGAGTTATTAGCATAAATCCTTGAGACTTGCTATCACCAGAGTATGAGCATAATTAAAGAGAAAAGGACCAAGGATTGAGCCCTGTTAACAGATGGGAAAGAAGACAGCAAAATATACTCAGTCATGGCCAGTGAGGTAGGAGGAAAACCAAGAGCATGTGTTGTCCTGGAAGCCAATAAATAAAAGTGTTTATTCTACCCTAAGGAGGTAGAAGTAATCAATTGCGCCAAATGCTAAGTCTAATAAGGCGAGAATTGAGAATTGGCCATTGGATTTGAATTCATGGAGGTCACTGGTTACCCTAAGAGCAGTTTTGGAGGAGAGAAGGGGCAAAGGCCTGACTGGAACGGGTTGGACAGAAAATGGTAGATTAGGAGACAGCAAGCACAATTTTGGTACAAAGGAGAACAGATAAATGGGGCAGTAGCTGGAGGGGAAGTAGGGCCAAGACTTTCTTTTTCTTAGATAAAAAATAATTAAAATTTAAACATTAAGAAAAAAATCAGAGCATGCTTGTACACCATGGGATAGATCCAAGAGAGGAAAAACTGATGATATAGAAGACATGGAGAATGGCCAGAGGGATGAATAAAGGGGTGAGGTCTAACGTACAGGAAGTGATTTTAGACACAACATGAACATTTCATCTAAAGTAAGAGAAAGAAAAGTACATGGGTGCAGACACCGGTAGGGTAGGTATGTAGGCAGATATAGTGGCGAGAATCTGCATAAGCGCCTTTCTAACTGCTTCAATTTATCATGGAATTAGGAAGCAAGGTCTTTCAGGATGAAAATGAAGGAGATACAGGGTTTTAGAAGAAAAAAAAGAAGGTATCCTATGTTATCCAGGGATGGCAGTTACTGCTCTAAAATGTAAGACCTTTCCAAAGCCTGTACATGATGGAGTCAGCCCCTAATTATTGCACCGTTAATAATTTATATTTATTGAGGATTTACCCTTTGCCAGGCAGAGTGCTTCAAATGCATTATCTCATTTAATTCTCTTGATGGGCCTAAGTACTATTGTCATCAATATTTACCAAAGAAAAAATGGAGTTAGCCTCAAGACTTCCCAGCCAGCAATGTGCAAGGAAGCCAAAATATTAGCTCTCATTCATTCCAAAGATCTGAACTATAAAGTGTGATAAATGCAAGAGGGAGAGATGTATAGCGCTATCTGAGCCTGTAACACGGGGAAGCTGCCCTAATCTGGGTAGTGGGGTGGGGGCGGGGTAGGGGGGATCACGGACAAGAAAGATTCCCGGAGGAAGTGACTTTTCAGCAGAGGTCTAACGGATGAGTAAGAGTTCACCTATCAACCTGCAGAGCGAGGGAGCCAGGGTTGAATAACATCTACAGCTAACGTGTGCCAGACATTGTGCTTGGTGCTTTGCAAACGGTTATTTTATTTAATCCTCTCAACAACCCCATCAAACAGAAGTCATCTCCCCCATCTTACACAGGTGCAAACTGAGGCACAGAAAGGATAAGGAACTTGCCCAAGGGTTACCAGCTAGGAAATGCAAAGTCAGACGGGGCCGGCTCTAGCTCCGAAGCCTGGCGCTCCTAACCCGCTCCTAGCTCGGCGTCTCAGACCCACAGCAGGCACCGAGCATCTAGGGAACAGGCAGCAGCGGGACCCAGGCTGCCCGAGTCCCCACCCGCCTACCTGCTCACCGGTCGCACGAACTCGGACAGTTCCTTCACGCCCTGTCCGTCCTCCCCAACCCCAGGACATTGACCTCTCCCTAACAGGGTTCTGAGACCATGAAACCAGCTACCCGGCGAACAGCAGTCGGGGAAGAGCCCGGCACGCAGCTGTCCAACAGAAACGTCACGCGAGCCACACAGGATTTTTAATATTCAAGGAGCCACATTAAAAAAAAAAAGTGAACGGAGTTGCATTTTAATAACATTTTATTTAACCCAGTACATCCAAAATATTATCATTTCAACATTCAATCATTATAAAGAGAATTAACGAGACACACTACTCTTCTGAGAAGTCCTCGAAACCGGGTGCGTATTTTCCATGAAATGGGTCTCTCGCACGGACCGCCGCGTGTGGGCGGCGGCGACCGGACCGGACCCGACCACGCAGACCCGGTGTCCGCTCCTTCAGAGGCCGGCAGCCGAGCCGGCCCCACGGAACTGAGACCGGCTGGGAAGCCGTCCACCAGAGCCCCGGGTTCCGCAGGGGGAGCCGACCCGGCTCAGGCCTCGGCCGAGACGCAGGCCCCGGGTCCCTCAAGGCCCTGCTCTCTGCCCCCCGCCGCTCCCCGCCGCTCCTCTCCACAGGCACCCCCCTCCAGGCCCCTGGCCCCTACCTCTCTCCTCACCCCTCTCCCCTGCTGCTGCAGGGGGCGGCTCGCGGCGAGAGCTCGCGGCGCCCAGGCTGGTGGCGGCAACTCCAACGCACCACAGACAAACCGGCCAGGACGCTCAGCTAGCGCCCCGGGAAGCGCCAGGGCTTTTTGAATGCAGTTCCCGCGAGAATGCGCACTTCTCACGAGACGTTCCGCCCAAGCCGCGCGTAAAGGAAAAACCCGGAAGAACGTTCAGCAGAGTGCCCCGCCCCACTAGAACGACAGTGAGGGCGCACGTGGAGGGCAGTGGGCTGGGCGTGGGTGCCGAGGGGGCTCACCGTCTGGTCAACCTTACTCAGGGTTGGTTTCCCGGGTGTATTTTTTTAAATGACAGTGTTTCTTGAGAGACAGTGTCCCTAGAAGGCGAGGCGGTGGGGAATTCCGAGGTGTGCCGGCCTCATACACCCTCCCAGCGGATTGGCCAGTGTGCGCTCTGAGGACCCCGCCCTCTGGTGCCTTTCTGGTGGTTCCACGAATCAGAATCAGTATGACAGTGCCTAACAGCATCATCGGCGAGAATCACAGTTACTTTTATGAGATAGAATGACAGTTATTATAATAACGTTAACACTCCAGCCTTCCCCATGTGCCGGGGAAATGCAAAATTTTACACGGATTGTCTCATTTAAGCCCGCACACAGCCTTATGAGGTAGGTATTATTACCTTCTCCTTTTCTGCAGAGGAGAACAAAGCCCCAAGAAGAAAAGAGTCTTGGCCAAGTGGTAGAACTAGAATTTGAACTAATGCAGTCTGCTGCTAAGAGTCCAAGCTCTTGCATGTATGTTTAAATAATGAATTTATGTTTTGTAAACCTGGTGCCTATTCATTATTCAAAAATTTACGCAATCGGAAATAATAATAGCCAACATTTAGTGAGCACTTCTGAGTCCTAGCAACTGTTGTATCGATCATGCTGTGCTTTTGAGCCCATCTTTTCTTGCCTACTTGAGGACTTGGCCGTAGCTCGTATCTTTTTCATCATCAGTTTTTTCTTCCCTTTTGGATCTTCCCTATCAGTAAACATGCTGTAATGACTTCCATCTCATAAAATAATACTAACCTCCTTTGATTCCAAGCAGCTACCTCCCCATTTATTTGCTTCCCTTGATAACAAAATTCCTGGGGGAAAAAAGTTTAGACTCACTATCTCCATTTTCTACCTTTTATTCTAACTTGTTTCCCACTTCAGGTTTGGTCCCCGCCAGTCTGGTGAAATGGCTCTTCTCGACATCACCAGAGAGTTCTGTCTTGCAAAATCCATTATTTAGTCCTTACTTCTCTTGACATTTGATGGAATTAATTGCTCTCCTTGAGTCTCGGTTTGGGTCTTGGGATAACACACCCTCCTTGCTTTCCTCTTCTCAGTTTCTTTTGCAGCCTTCTGTTTCTGACTGAGCTAGGCCAGACCATAAAGAGTTGATCTGGGTTTGAACACTGGCAACAGTGATGCCTTCAAGTTGTTCACAGTATAGACTTGCAAATGTGTTTAAGGGCTGAATGAGCCAGATGCTCATTCATTTATCTTCACCCCGACGTTCTTGAATAAATGAAATTCCATTCTCTATTATGTAGCAAAGACTCCTCAGCTCAGGAGTCAGGAAGACACCATTCTAGCCTAGGCCAATCATGACCGGCTGAAATTAGGTAATCTAAAATGTATCTGAACTTCATTTTCTCCTTTGTTATATGAGAAGGTAGACCTATATTTCATTAATGTTTCTAATATTTTTTAAATATTTTAAACTATGAACTGAGTGGACACAATGTGCTAGGCATAGTGGAAGGAATTCAGAGATGTGGTAATCTCCACTCTTGTCTGGAAGATGCTCACAATATACTAAGGGATTAAATATATATATGTGTGTGTGTGTCTATATGTATATATAACTACAGGGCTACACTACAGTAAAGGAATTGTGTAAAGGGAGAGGTCAGTTTTCTCTGAGTATTCCCTTAAAGTTTCATAGTGCATGTAGCATTTGAGCAGGGCCTTCAAGGATAGCAGAGCTAAGAAGGAGGGCATTCAAGGGGAGGGCACAGCATTAGCAAAGCCACAGAAGCTACCCATATCATATTAAGATCATTCTTTAGGAACTGTCTGCATAGAGTACTGCCACTACCACCACTGGACACTAGATGTCACAAGTGAAATGAATTCTAGCTGGTCTCTGCTTGTTTGGGTAACTTGCTTAAGATTCACAGTTCCAGATGCAGATCTACACGCCCAGATGAGGTCCACATACCATGTGCTAAATGCTAAGGGTCAGGAGGAAAAAACCACATATGTGTCATTTTGAGCTTACAAGTTGAGAGAGAGGATTTTGCCTCCTCACAGAGAGTAGTGGATTCACCAAGCATATGAAGGGAATTTAGATATTGGAAGACAACACCACCACTCCTCCCTCAATACAATTCCTAATATTATAGCTGTTCACAACCAGAATAGACTGCTGGAGTAAGCTGACCATCATTCCTTCACTGTGACTGTTCTAGTGGGAATGAGAGGATTGGTTATCAGAAATGGTGTAGGAGGGAGTGTTGCTTTGTACTGAAATCTGTGTATATTTTGACATGAACTTATTGAATGATTAAGTTTGTTTTTGCTACCACAGATGAATAGTCTCTGTCCTCAAGGAACTTGGAATTTAGTGGAAGGAGCTTTTACCAAACGATAAACCTTTACTCAGAGTATGGCTTAGACTTTCTTTTTCCTTCATATTGTTAAGTAAAGCTCCAAGTTGGTCTTTTTGGGGTCAAACAAGAACAAGCCCAGGATTCTAAGACACAGAGTTTGCAAATAAGAACTGGATTCATTTACAAAGTCCATGATTCATAGAATGGGCCAGCAGATGAAGTTTTGGAAGTTACAGTCAAAGTCGTGGTCATTGAAACCTGGAGAATGGCTGAGATCAAGAAAAGAGGCTTAGAGAAAGAGGGGGCTGTGTGCAGGACTTTGGTGATGGTCCTAATTCACAGAACAAGAGGAGAATAAGCATCCAGCAAAACAAACAGCAGAGCCATCTGAGAAGAGATAAGGAAATTGCATTGTCGCAGCTCCCTCTGTGATGATTTGATATCAAAATGAAGAATTGTGCCAGGAGGCAGGTTGGACTGTTTAAGAGTAATAATGACAATGACAGCCCACTCTGCAGTCTCTCCTGGCCCTGCTTTGTATAACATCAGCTTCAACTCTGCATGAGCCCTATTGCTATACTCCTTTTCCCCTTAAGTAGGTATGGTCCTCACTCACGGCAAAGGTGCACCATCCCAATATTGTGGACATTTATTGGCTAACTTCCCAGCATCAGTTCCCTCACCTTTTTTGTCCAAAAGCATTCTGATTATTCTTTGGGTAATTCATCTTTCCCTCCATTTTCAGCGATGTGGATTGTTTAAAATTGGTCCCACCCTTCAGCTCTAGGGTATCCCATCACTCTGGTTGTAGTCATTGGTTCAGAGATGTGCATGTGACTGAATCCAAGTCAGTGAAATAAAATGAGATATTCCCTGGGACTGCTGGAAAAATGGATTTTGCTAACCCCTTCTGGACTTGAATGTCACAGCCCAGAGCTACCAGCTGCCATCTTGGTTCCATGAAGTTTAAGTCTGTTTGAAATTGAATCAAAAGCAAAGCTGACAAATAGAGAGAAGAGAGTCCTGCTTATGCTGTTTGGGCCCTACATGAAGCTCCTCTTGAAGCTAGAGATATCCCTGAACTGTTTAGTTTTTGCTCAAATGGCTTCAATTTCAGTTTTCTGTTACTTTCAACATAAAGGGTTTTAAACAGTACACTCAATAATACTTGTGTTTGAGCTTGAGTGGACTAATTAACCTGTCAAGTTCTCATTCTACATTTAGAATTTTATAAGGCTAAAACTGAAAGGTGCTAACTTCCAGAGATAGGATCCACTGATGGCTCCTCTGAGAAAAATGCCTTGGTTGAACTAAAAGGAAGGTTTATCCTAAATGAAGAAGCCTAGTGTATAGTGGAGGAAAATAAGGATCCAAACAGCTGTGTGTAATCCCTTTCTTGGCTCCACTTCACATTACCATTACACCCCTGTTAAGCTGACTTCTTCAGGTGACTTTAACACCTAAGCCAGTTAGAATTAAGACTGAATGTTTCTATCAGTTAAGGTTTTTACTTTCCAAGAACAATACCCACTCTAGTTAGTTGAAGATATATATGTATATAAAAAAATGCTAGAGTCCTAATTTTTGCAACTATTCACAGGACTGTAGTTGCTGCTTATCACTTCCTATCTTGCAGTACCCATTACATATTGCTTTTATTTTCTGGTAATACCTCAGCTGGTTGAGGTTCTTTGTCCAGTAGAGAGACCCACATCTATACTACTGAAAAAATATAATCACTAGTTATGATTTATATTACTCACTATTCTGTTGGTGTAAATTTATTTGGTCTGACTCAAAGTGGGATGTGATAAAACTTAGGGTCTTGTTCTTTCTCTGAGAGCTTGAAACTGTCACACTACTTTTCTCTGTGTGTGTGTGTGTGTGTGTTTGTATGTGTAGTGTCTCAATTCAGTGGAAACAAGTGGTGGCTGCTAGATGTTGTAATGCTGGGTTTAATGTATTTTATTCTTAGGAAAAACAACTTGGGAGTGCACATGGTAAAAGGGGAAGTTGATGAGTCAGCACCCCGAAGTTAGCAGCTGAAAACGCCTGTTCAGTAATAAGCCACCTCCTGCCTGTTGCCACTAGGTGACAGTCTTTGCAAATGCTTTATCTGAAGGGAGACTTTCTGTTACAGAAATTCATTTCTATTGGTGGAGATGTTTACCTTGCTAGTTTCAGCTAGATTAGCCAAATACACGTATTTGTTATAACCTACACTCTTAGTCATTTGAGATCGTACTTATTCCTTATATGGAACTCTTCTCTCCTGCTGCTTGGTTTACTCCATGCTATAGACTGAATTGTGTCCCCGCAAAATTCCTGTATTGAAGCCTAACCCCCAATATGACTTTATTTGGATTAGAGGCTTTAGGGGGTAATTACAATTAAATGAAGTCATAAGGGTGGGGCCCTAATCCGTTAGGATTGGTGGCCTTATGAGAAGAAGAATCTCTCTCTTTCTGTGCATCATGGAAGAAAAGCCATCTGTACACACAGTGAGAAGGTGGCACCTACAAGCCAGGAAGAGAGCCCAGGAGCTGCATTGGCCAGTGCCTTGACCTTGGACTTCCCAGCCTCCAGAATTGTGAGAAATAAATTCTCTATTGTTTAAGAATTCTGTTATTGCAGCCCAAGAAGACTAATATACTCCATCTCTTCCTTTTCACTGGAGAGGCCCTATGACTAGTGGTTAAGAATACAGTACGTATTCTGGAGTCGGCATCCAGGTTCAATTGCAGGCTCTGTTACCTCCTAGCTGTGGTTGCCTTTAACAAACTACTTAGCCTCTCTAAGCCTCAGTTTCCTCAAGTACAAAAGGGGATAATCAAAGTACTTAATTCTGTAGGTCGTTGTGTGGTTTAAATGAGCTAATACTTTTAAAACTGTTAGCATAATGTCCGTAAATTGTAGCTGTTATTATTAAGAGCATTGTCTCAGCTCCAATGTCACTCCCTCTGGACCCCCTTTGCTGAATCTGGAGCCTAGGGCATGACCTCTGTGTGCAGTTCATAGCACCTGTGCTTATTTTTTCAACCACTTAGACTAGTTTGTAGTAATTTGTGTGATTTATGTCTGCCTCCCTCACTAAGTTATAAGCTCTGTTAGGATAGAAAAGACCTATCTAAGTTTTACTCCCTACAGTTTCTCCCAGCAAGTGCTTTGAACATGCTAGGTGCTGAAGTTGTTTGATGAATGAATGAAAAATGCAATTCATTGGTTTAAATGGGGAATCTGTAAAACTCTCTTTGAGAGATCAAAGTCAAGTAACTTGTAAAATAATTACTATTCTTAATCCTGAGTGAAAAATGCTGAAAATTTATTAATCAGTTTACATAAAACAGATTAAATGTCCCAGAGACTGTATACCAAATAAGTAGTTTGGGGCATTTGCTACCCTTTGAAATTTTAATTGCTTCATTGAACTGTGACAATATGTGTCCCTCACTTGAACCAATATTTCTTCATTGAGAATTTGTGTATTGATGTAATTTCAGTAATTCAAGTATTGTAAATTGTGCTACAGAACTTGGTTTATAAAATAACCCCATCGGAGCGGCCTGTAAAGCAAAGAATCCTTGGCAGAAGTAAATGTTCACTTCTGTGTAAATATAGACTTGCTTTTTTATGTTACAATCTCTTTCTTTCTCTTTAAATTAAGGTATAATTGACATACAATATCCTATTCATTTCAGGTGCATATCATAATGATTCAATATGTATTTACATTATGAAATGATCACCATGAAAAGCCTAGTTACCGTCTGTCACCATGCAAAGTTATTAGAACATTATTGACTGTATTCTCTATGCTGTATGTTACATCTTCATCACTTTTGTATTTTATTACTGGAAGTCTGTACCTCTTAATTCCCTTCATCTATTTCTTCCACCCCCACCCCTGAACCCCTCCCTGCTCTGGTAACCACCAGTTTGTTTTCTCTATGAATTTGTTTCTGTTTTGCTTTTTTTGTTCCTTTGGTTTTTCAGATTCCACATATACATGAAATCATACAGTATTTGTCTTTCTCGCCCTATTTCACTTAGCATAATATCCTTTAGGTCCATCTATATTGTTGCAAATGGCAAGATTTCATTCTTTTTTTATGACTGAGTAGTAGTCCATTCTATTTATATACCACATATCCATTCTATCAGTGGACACTTAGCTGGCATCCATACCTTGCCTATTCTAAATAATGCTGCATGAACATAGGGGTGCAGGTATCTCTTCAAATTAGCATTTTTGGTTTCTTTGGATAAATACCTAGAAGTGGAATTGTTGGATTATATGGTAGTTTGATTTTTAATTTTTTGAGGAACCTCCATACTATTTTTCATAGTGGCTACACCAATTCACATTTCTACCAAGAAAGTATAAGTGTTCCCTTTTCTCCACATCCTTGCCAACACTTGTTATTTTTTGTCTTTTTGATAATAGCCATTCTGAGAGGTGTGAGGTGATACCTTATTATGGTTTTAGTTTGAATTTCCCTGATGATTAGTTATGTTGAGCATCGTTTCATGTGCCTGTTGGCCATCTGTATATCTTCTTTGGAAAAACGTCTACTCAGGTCCTCCACCCATTTTTTTAATTGGGTTGTTTGTTTTTTGATGTTAAGTTGTATACATTCTTTATATATTTTAGATATTAACCCTTTATTGGATGTATGATTTGCAAATATCTTCTCTCATTCAGTACATTGCCTTTTCATTTTGTTGATGGTTTCCTTCACTGTGCAAAAACTTTTTAGTTTGATGTAATCCCATTTATTTTTGCTTCTGTTGACCTTGTACGAGGAGACTGGTCCACAAAAATATTGCTAAGACCGATGATGTCAAAGAGTTGACTGCCTATGTTTTCTTCTAGAAGTTTTATGGTTTTAGGTCTTACATTCAAGTCTTTAATCCATTTTGAATTTATTTATGTATATGGTGTAAGACAGTGGTCCAGTTTCATTCTTTTGCATGTAGCTGTCCAGTTTTCCCAACACCATTTATTGAAGAGACTGTCTTTTCCCCATTGTATATTCTTGCCTCCTTTGTCATAGATTAATTGACCAATTGTGTAGGTTTATTTCTGGATTCTCTATTCTATTCCATTGATCTATTTTATTGACACATTTTTGTGTCAGTACCATACTGTTTTGATTACTACAAGGTATAGAGAAGATCAGGGAGCATGATACCTCCAGCTTTGTTCTTCTTTCTCAAGATTGCTTTGGCTATTCAGTGTCTTTTGTGGTTCTGTACAAATTTTATGATTCTTTGTTCTAGTTCTGTGAAAAATGCCATTGGTATTTTTGAGAGGACTACATTGAATCTGTAGATTGCTTTGGGTAATACAGACATTTTAACAATATTAATTCTTTCAATCCATGATTGTGGTATATCTTTCCATTTATTTGTATTATCTTTAATTTCTTTCTTTCATTAATGTCTTATAGTTTTGAGAGTAGAGGTCTTTTACGTCCTTAGTTAAGTTTATTCCTAGGTATTTTATTCTTTTTGATGCAATTGTAAATGGGATTGTTTTCTTAATTTGATTTTCTGATAGCTTATTATTAGTGTATAGAAATGCAACCAATTTATGTGTATTAACTCTGTATCTTGCAATTTTACTGAATTCATTTATTAGTTTCTAACAGTTTTTTCATGAAGTCTTTAGGGTTTTCTGTATATAGTATCATGTCATCTGCAAATAGTGACAGTTTTACTTCTTCCTTTTCAATTTGAATGCCTTTTATTTCTTTTTCTTGACTAATTGTTGTGGCTAGGCCTTCCAATACTATGTTGAATAAAAGGGGTAAGAGTAGGCATCCTTGTCTTTTTCCTGATCTTAGAGGACAAGCTTTCAGCTTTTCACCATGGAGTGT